CGTTCAAGATTATTGGGCATATATTACGACGTGCATGAACGTGTGTGTATGGCTGCTTGTACTAGTTCGGACTTATGCCGGTTTTAAATGCTGGCCCGATGAGATACCTGCATGCATACCCTACTCAGGCACAGTTACCAGTACTTGTTAGTCCTTTTTATGCCGAGCACTAGGCAGGTTATCAATAAGTACCATCATTTAATGTCTTTTGGTATGACTCAGTGGGATGATCGAACCACCGACCCCCCATCTCTGATCAGACTCTCTATCCACTGCAGCGATACGCTATGGTGGATATGTCGGGGCAGATGGGGTCCCCGGGGGATGCGTATTGGTTGGTGAGGCTCTGTGACATGGCTCTGTGTGTGTCACCGTGCCACGACGTATTTAGTCACAGGTTTGGGTAGTTCAGATTAGATTACTTATATGCACTCGCCCACCTTTTGTCACTCACTCGCCCACCTTTACTCACTCACTCTCCCACCTTTACTCACTCACTTGTCCACCTTTACTCACTCACTCGCCCACATTTACTAACTCACTCGCCCACATTTACTCACTCACTTGTCCACCTTTACTCACTCACTCTCCCACCTTTACTCACTCACTCTCCCACCTTTACTCACTCACTCACCCACATTTACTCACTCACTTGCCCACCTTTACTCACTCACTCACCCACATTTACTCACTCACTCTACCACATTTACTCACTCACTCGCCCTACTTTACTCACTCTCGCACCTTTACTTACTCACTCACCCACCTTTACTCACTCACGTCCATACCTCAAATGAACCATTATACGCCTATCTTTTGGAATGTAAATGGAATATTATTGCTAATTATAATCATACAAATTATATGCAAGAGTAGGATTATGTTGAGCCTTAATGACATAATCTGTTTTATGATAATAAAAGCCCTGATTAACCAACCACTCCCAACAGATATTTATTTCAATTTACCGATGGTCGATTTCGCTGTTTAGGTCGCTGAGTAAATCTCCCAACTTCCCTTTATACGTGGCTTGGTGTACACATGAGCTCAAAGAGTCAGTCATTCAATAAACAGCGAGGAGTTGGTTCCTGGTGGAGTCAGGTAAACCTTCACAGACCTCTGTACTCTACGAAGCACCTCCTCCCCCCAACCTACACTTGGCCGATAACTCCATCCCTGCGAGGCTAATGCGATCTGTCATAGTCTAGTGGTTCTCCGCATCTGATGAATATCATTTAATTGCGACTAATTACGAGTTTAAAGGTTGGTGGGAGTTCAGGAGAAGGTAATGCAGGTATAAATTAATCGATGAATACTCGTCGAGCCCTCCGCAGAAACACTCACATTAGAACCGGTAATCGTCTTGCCCAAGACGAGGAGGAATATAAAACGTTACTTTGTTGTATAAACATCACAGTTCAATAACGCAGAATCCTTGGATATAAGCCGTCGAAACTTTAGGCGTATTGATATTGATCAAAAGAAAATAAAAGCGACAAATCAAAGAAACACACTCATGAATCACTGTTCCTTTGTAATGACACGGTTTTGTTCAAGTGATGTTTAGTTAAAAACAATGGCGCTGTTACATTAACTACACTGTTTCGTTAAAGTGATGTGTAGTTACAAAAGTGACACTCTTATAATCACTACACTGTTTCGTTAAAGTAATGTTTAGTTACAAACATGACACTGTTACATTGACTTCACTGTTTCGTTAAAGTGATGTTAAGTAACAAACATGACACTGTAACATTCACTACACTGTTTCGTTAAAGTAATGTTTAGTTACAAACATGACACTGTTATATTCACTACACTGTTTCGTTAAAGTAATGTTTAGTTACAAAAGTGACACTCTTATATGCACTGTTTGATGTTTGGTTAAAACAAATATGACACTGTAACATTCACTACACTGTTTCGTTAAAGTAATGTTTAGTTACAAACATGACACTGTTACATTGACTACACTGTTTCGTTAAAGTAATGTTTAGTTACAAACATGACACTGTAACATTCACTACACCGTTTAGTTATGTTCAGATGCAATGATGACGCTGTTTCATTACAGTAATAGCATTGCAAATGCATTATGATGAAACAGTTTCGTTTCAATGTGACACTGTTTCGTTACAGGGATGGCACCCGTAAGCTTTACGGATGCCCGGTGTGAACAGAAGACCACATCACTTCCAACCTGAGACTGATGACGGTTGAGTTTGTCCCCATTCAGGACGAGGTACACCTATATAGGAGGTTATCGTCTACTCCGCCAAACCACACAACCTCATTAAGCACCAACCATATTTAATGAATATCCAAAAGCCGAACTTATTCTAACCTCATTGCAACAACAGTTTACGGTATCTAAATGAAGCAATGAAACAATGCCGACTCATGAAGCAAACATTCTATCATCGTACAAGTATTTCTGTGCTTATTCAACCTGGAGGTGTGTCGGGTCGATGAAGATGTGCTGAGACAGGTGTCTGAGAGTTATTCCCCTTGAAGCCGCGTGCCACCAGGCGGGGTTCACCTGTTACTGCCTGTCATACAAGGAGATTATTTGGTGGAGGTGGTGGCACACATCCAAATGTCTTCCTTCTTGAATCATACACGGTCTGGTTACATGAGTTCTGGATGCAGAACTGAAAAAAAACTGATTTCAGGGAAAGAGACTATTAAATCGAGGAAAATCGATACTGGTTCCGTGTACTGTTGTCAGTGATAACATCAGGACAATGAAACAAGCGCCGATTGTCAATCTATTTGAGGCAAGTTCGGAAAATGGCAAAATCACCATCACCAAGGGTCAAAAATTAAAATATTTCTCCTCCTTTTCTTCAAGCATGATTTTCAATTGTCGATTCGTGAACAAATATGAAATGGATCCTGGTTACAACATCCGAGGGTAAAGCAATTAACCTTGCTCGCGACTGATTGCAGACAGCCCACTAATGGTGGGATTGAGCTGAATTAGCAGTTAAAGTAACAAAATAAGGGATTATGACGTAAGGAAGTGGAAAAGCAAAGAAATTAAGGCTGACGGAGGACGGCAAGGGCCAATGGAGGACAGAAAGAATGACAAAAGAAGAAGCAAGGGAAGAAATACAGGATAATGAAGGAAGGACGACATAAAATATGAAAGAAGGGGAAGAGACATAGGAAAGAATAAAGGATGAGGAAGGAAGGTGAAGTGAAAGGAGTGAAGACGAATTGACGAAGGGCGAAATGAAGGATAATCAAGGAAGAAAGATCAAGCTGAGATAAGAAAAGCATGCTAATGACGGAAGGAAGGTGAAGAGCAAGAGAAGAAATGAAGGTTAAGGAAGGAAAATGAAAAGCAAGAGAAAATGAAGGTTAAGGAAGGAAGGTGAAGAGAAAGAGAAGAAATGAAGGAAGGAAGGTGAACAGAAAGAGGAAAATGAAGGTTAAGGAAGGAAGGTGACGAGCAAGAGGAAAATGACGGATAATGAAGGAAGGTTAAGAGCAAGAGAAGACAAGAAGGAAGAGAGGTGAAGAGAAATAAAAAAAATGAAGGTTAAGGAAGGAAGGTGAAAGGAAAGAGGAAAATGAAGAATAAGGAAGGAAGGTGACAAGCAAGAGGAAAATGAAGGATACGGAAGGAATGCTAAGAGCAAGAGAAGACATGAAGGAAGGAAGGAAGGAAGGTGAAGAGACAGAGAAGAAATGAAGGTTAAGGAAGGAAGGTGAAATGAAAGAGGAAAATGAAGGATAAGGAAGGAAGGTGAAAAGAAAGAGGAAGGAAGGAAGGTGAAAAGGAAGTGAAGTAATGACGGATAGGGAAGGAAGGAAGGTTAACAGCAAGCAAAGAAATGATGAATAAGGAAGGAATGTTAACAGCAAGAAATGAAAGGAAGGATAAGGAAGGAAGGTGAAGAGCAAGAGAGGGAATGAAGGATAAGGAAGGAAGTTGAAGAACAAGAGAGGAAATGAAGGATAAGTAAGGAAGGTAAAGAGCAAGAGAGGAATGAAGGATAAGGAAGGAAGGTGAAGAACAAGAGAGGGGATGAAGGATAAGGAAGGAAGGTAAAGAGCAAGAGAGGAATGAAGGATAAGGAAGGAAGGTGAAGAGCAAGAGAGGGAATGAAGAATAAGGAAGGAAGGTTAAGATCAAGAGAAGAAATGAAGGATAATGAAGGAAGGTGAAAAGAAAGAGAAAAGTGAAGGATAAGGAAGGAAGTTGAAGAACAAGAGAGGAAATGAAGGATAAGTAAGGAAGGTAAAGAGCAAGAGAGGAATGAAGGATAAGGAATGAAGGTAAAGAGCAAGAGAGGAATGAAGGATAAGGAAGGAAGGTGAAGAACAAGAGAGGAAATGAAGGATAAGGAAGGAGGATGAAGAGCAGGAGAAGAAATACAGGATAAGGAAGGAAGGTTAAGAACAAGAGAGGAAATGAATGATAAGGAAGGAAGGTTAACAGCAGGAGAAGAAATACAGGATAAGGAAGGAAGGTTTAGAGCAAGAGAAGCAATGAAGGATAAGGAAGGAAGGTGAAAAGAAAGAGGAAAGTGAAGGATAAGGAAGGTGAAAAGAAAGAAGAGGAAAGTGAAGGATAAGGAAGGAGGGTTAAGATCAAGAGAGGAAATGAGGGATAAGGAAGGAAGGTTAAGATCAAGAGAGGAAATGAAGGATAAGGAAGGAAGCTTTAGAACAAGAGAGTAAATGAAGGATAAGGAAGGAAGGTTAAGATAAAGAGAGGAAATGAGGGATAAGGAAGAAAAGTTACGATCAAGAGAGGGAATGAGGGACAAGGAAGGAAGGTTAAGATTAAGAGAGGAAATGAAGGATAAGGAAGGAAGCTTAAGAACAAGAGAGGAAATGAAGGATAAGGAAGAAGCTTAAGAACAAGAGAGGAAATGAAGGATAAGGAAGGAAGGAAGGTTAAGATCAAGAGAGGAAATGAAGAATAAGGAAGGTTAAGAGCAAGAGAGGAAATGAAGGATAAGGAAGGAAGGTTAAGATCAAGATAGGAAATGAAGGATAAGGAAGGAAGGTTAAGAACAAGAGAGGAAGTGAAGGATAAGGAAGAAAGGTTAAGAGCAAGAGAGGAAATGAAGGCTAAGGAAGAAAGGTGAAGAGCAAGAGAAGAAATGAAGGATAAGGAAGGAAGGAAGGTGAAAGTAAAGGAGTGAGTGAGTATGGTTTACGCCGCTTTTAGCAATATTCCAGCAATATCACGGCGGGGGACACCAGAAATGAGCTTCACACATTGTACCCATGTCGGGAATCGAACCCGGGTCTTCGGCGTGACGAGCGAACGCTTTAACCACTAGGCTACCCGACCGCCCCCGTTAAGGAAGGAACGTGAAGAACAAGAGAGGAAAGGAAGGACAAGGAAGGAAGTAGGAAGGGGAAGAGCCAGAGAAGAAATAAAGGATAAAGAAGGAAGGGAGGTGAAGAGCAGGAGACATAATGGAGGATAAAGAAGGAAGGAAGGTAGGAAGCAAGGAAAGAAACGAAGGATGAGGAAGAGAAAATGGCGAGAAGATGAATACAGATATGAATGATAATGGAGGGAGGTGAGGTGACGAGACGACAAAATGACGACGACAGGTAGACGAAGGGTCCGGGGCACATTTCGAGGCTAAACACTTTACAGCAATGTCTTCAGTGACTTATATTACGCATTAAAAAAAAACCGGCACTGCTCAAAAAGCTCTGATGTGATATATATATATATATGTCTATAGGATTGTCACGTCAGGATACACCAACGATCCGGCTGTACCTGTGTTCCTGGTCAGAGTAGAAGTTTAATCAAGGCAACTGATGAAGTAGATCCATTGTTATGATAACTTTACCATCAGGTTAGGCGTATGATCAGGGTAGAATTTTAATCAAGGCAAACCTCTGGTTATGGTGGACGTATGGTATAGGTAATTTCGTGATTGGGTTAGGTCAAGGGTCACGGTAAGAATAATATCGGGCCATTGACGATGTACACACCACCTGTACGAGTCTTCATATCTGCAAGACGAGAATCTAAATAAATATGGGCGTATACACACAAAACAGTGGGAAACAAACTTTCGAAAATCCCAAGCTTAAGTGATTTGGACATGTGTTATAGATACACAATGTTACTGTCGCAGTGACTGGCAGGGGGATTGAAACCACTTGAGCCTATTTCACGTGTGTTTCTGTGTGATGTGTGGGTGGGGTGGCTGGGAGGTGTTGTGGAGTTTGGGGTTGGGGGAAAGTGGTAGAGCAGAGACGGGGTGGTCCAAACCTGGTGCTGGGCGAAGACGTTAAACACTCTGGTGATTAAACACAAACACAGTGAGCTACGAACAAACAGTTTGTCATAATGTTTGTGTTTCTGGGCATTCTAATTGTGTGTAACATGTACCCGCCAGTGCATGGTCATGTACTGGATCTCGGCATCAAGGTGAATAATCCTCGCAACTTTACAAATGTACGCAATTCAGTATTATCGTTTGTTGTTCAGTGAACCGATAACATTTCAACATTTCTTACTTTAAGTGACCCGGTATGTCTCTAACGGGGTTCCTGCATTGGCTAGACACGTGACGAGATACAAAGCCAAAGATAGACTAAACTCTCCATATCCATACCATGTCATTGTTTCTCCAGTTTCAGATGTCCATATATGCTCACGAAGACGGCGTGGCGGTGCAAATGCAGCCTAGTGATGCCCGTGGAATATACACCATAGAAGTATACCATGGAGTATACGCTATAGAAATACACTATGGTCTCTAAGGGGTACGGGGTCCATCATAGTCTCAACACATGCAGCCACGTCTGTGTCACCACGACCTGCACTCACTCACTCACTCACGCCACGCGGAAAGACAGCACTCGAAAAGACAACCTCCGTGGTCTATTGGATAGAGTGTGTGTCCGTACAGCGGAAGGTCGGTGCTTCGATTCTTGGCCGCGTCATACCAAAATAGTTAATAGATGGTACTTGTTGTGTAATTCCCGTCGCTTTACGCAATAAGTGCAATAATCTTGAACGCGACGTTAAACCCCATTTGACCACACCCTCCTTCATATCATAAACGCAAGATCTGGAAGCATCAGCTTGATCGTGGTTTCAAGATGAGACAAGGATAAAGTAACTTTCTACTGAATCAATACTGTGAGATGATACACAAGGAACAACATGAAGCGACGATGTTGGCATTCCATGCTACACCCAAACACAGGGGGTATTTGTGTTGGACGGAAGGCAAAGCAACGCCCCGAGGGTCCATGCTGCGGACTCGGGCAGGGCAGGGGGTTGTTAAGGAAAACAAGCTTCTGACACAAATATTCCAACATTCTAAACCGACACAAATAATCAAACACACTGCTTGGAGGATCTCTCGGAGTAGGTTATCAGTCACATTGTTACATTTGCTCGCATAATCGTCGGACATTGTTTGGGTTTTTTGTCTGGTAAAATGAACCACGTGCTAACGTGACGGATCATAGGTCTGAAATAGATGATAGTCGTGCTGGTTGCCTCAATGCTATCTCTTTATCATCCAGTGCATCAAACGTTTCATGTTTTTCAAGTGACTAAACGTTCGGCATCAACGAAATATCATGAATCGATTTGACAGCTGCCAACTGTGTCCTTAGGGTCATGCATATTCAGCACTTAATTTACATTTTAAGATTTTGTCCTGTTCCATTTATAACTTTAAATTATGTTGTGACGTAATTTAATAACACTTTACATCAGATAAGAGTTAATGAGGCTTTTTATCATATCGTCACTAATTATCAATGAAAGCTGAGCGTCACTGGATGACTGGAAACATGGCTAGTTTATTACGAATATAAAACACGCGTCGGTTTCATGTTCATCGTGAAGTCAAAAGACCGAAAGACTACTCAAGAAGAGATCTTCCGTGATTGAGAATAACCCAATACAACATCACAAGATGCAAGTGTGTTGGTCGCAGTGTAAATGTCAAATGCTAAAAGCTCTTAACGAGATGTATATGTTCCAGAATAAAAAGAAGCTAGACTTTTTACTTTCGGAGAGAATTATCAGCATTACTGACACCCGATATAACCTCGCCTTTCCAGAGATCAATTCCAGTGCTGATGTGGCAATAAGAGCTAGTACTGCACAAACCATAGCTAAACGTCACGACATTGATACAACTCACAGTAGTCTAGAGTAGGTGCTGGGAGTGCCAACTGTCAGTTTATAATATTATTTTCAAACTTAATGTCTGATAATAATTTTGAAAAGGGGTACTATATGTCGCAGGGGTCCAATGACCCAGCCGTCTTAGGCGCAAGCATTTCGCAGCGCAGAGTTGCTTCCCTTAATCCTATCTCCTGCGTTTGAACCGCAGATAAACCCTGATTTGACGTCCATGCACGTGGTTAACACGTATCAGCTTACTCTGGTCGTACCCTTCAATTAAATTATCAAGCAACTGTTAGCCTCCAACGCACTCACTCATTCCAAGAGACCGCCGCCGTGGTCTAGTAGATAGAACGTGTGCCCTGCGAGTGGAAGGGTGATGGTTTGATCCCCGGCCGTGTCATACCAAGAGAAGATTGTACTTGTTATCCTGCCTGGAGCCGCCGTGGTCTAGTAGATAGAATGTGTGCCCGTAGAGCGGAAGGGTGATGGTTTTATCCCCGGCCGTGTCATACCAAGAGAAGATTGTACTTGTTATCCTGCCTGGAGCCGCCGTGGTCTAGTAGATAGAACGTGTGCCCTGCGAGTGGAAGGGTGATGGTTTGATCCCCGGCCGTGTCATACCAAGAGAAGATTGTACTTGTTATCCTGCCTGGAGCCGCCGTGGTCTAGTAGATAGAATGTGTGCCCGTAGAGCGGAAGGGTGATGGTTTTATCCCCGGCCGTGTCATACCAAGAGAAGATTGTACTTGTTATCCTGCCTGGAGCTCGACATAATGGGCTAAACCAAGGACGGTTGGACAGTATACTGTGTCTGAGTGAAGTGTTCATTTGAAACTGAGGTATGGTGTCTCAGAGGGCTAAAGAAGTGGTGTCTAAAGAAGGCATTAGTACGGACTTGTACAAGCACACACGTGCAAACACTAGCGTCGTTATACAATGCAATAACCTTGAATACGACATTCAATCCCATTTCACCTCACCCCACTCAATGAATTGTCGTTCCTGCGTATTCAGCATCATTTCAATCAGGATAGTCCCGATTTGTCGTTTCTACCGGGGTAAAGATCCATAATTTGCCTGAGCATCGAACCTATACATTTCTCGACTGAATGTGGAATTTAAAACTTAAAATGTAATTGTTTAAAAGTAGTGATTTTTTAAATGTTGTTAAAACGTCTCCCTTCCATCTGAAGACCTGTACCACTTACGACAAGTAATCTGCCCCTATGTAGTCCGAATATGACGTAAAGGCACTTACATACATCAACAGTTATTACGACATATGTGTTATTTGATACACTATTTCACCATATTATATAACACTGACACATGCATTATGGTTAGTTTAATGTTAATATGAATGTGTCTCCCTGTAAAGTATCTTTATTTATTTTCTTTGTTTGTTGTTTAACGCCGCACTGGGGTAGACAATCCAGTGATTGATAGCATGAGCATTTATCCACGCACTGGGATACGATGACATGCATCAACCACGTCAGCGAGCCTGACCACCCGATCCCTTTAGTCGCCTTCATACTCTCTATTTGTGCTTTCCGGATTCAGTTTCCGGGTGTATATATGACAGACAAGGGCACAGTACGTATCATTATAATGAAGCATTCTGGCCGAGATGCCACAACTCGCCATGCAGATGATGTGACGTGGCTCGTGCACCTTATTATCGGTAGCTAGGAAGGAGAAGCGTTACCTCTTTCACTCAAGGGAATCAAACCTAGGTATTCGGTGTGATGAGTGAACGCTTTAACCACTAGGCTATTCGACCGCCCCTTCACTCAAGGGAATCAAACCTAGGTATTCGGCGTGATGAGCGAACGCTTTAACCACTAGGCTACCCGACCGCCCCTTCACTCAAGCGAATCAAACCTAGGTATTCGGCGTGATGAGCGAACGCTTTAACCACTAAGCTACCCGACCGCCCCTTCACTCAAGCTAATCAA